AAAGCGTGAAATCCCTTGACTCGACCCATCGCAGAGCTTCGGCTGTGTGCCCTCTGCTGTTGCGACCAATAATCAATGGCTTATTGGTTGCATAGAATACAGTATTGCTCGCTATTGGCGTTATCATGTTTGAGTACGGCGTATATATGCGTTGGTTAAGGGGCCCCGAGTAAGATATCCGAGTGATAATCTGCGCCAAGGTTACGCTATTCTTCGCGTATTGTACGAGGTATCTTGTAGGGCTATACGGAGGCTTTTATATATACGCATATATTCTACTTTACGCGCAAAAGCAAATTTTAGTATTCTACCCTACCCCCCACCGACAAAACCATAGATTCGTATAAAAGCACCTGTTTGTACATATTCCAAGAGCGTCCCCAGAGTCTGTAAGCGCTTTTTGAGCCAGTGGTTCCATTAGAGCACGTGTGTAATGCTTCAAAAGTCGAAACGTCCAAGTGGCCCCCCGTACCCACCCATACGGCTGTTCCGAGTCAAACCACAAAACCAAGTACCGTTTTTTTGAGGCATGGAAGGTCTTTGGGCTAGTCCGTCCATACTTTACATCCTGTGAATGCTCCTACGGAAATCTAGCCCAAGTTATTTGAAAAAAATCGTCAAAAAATAGCGTTTCGTTGGTTTTCGATTTTTCAACCTGGAAAAAGATGTTTCGGAGACCGTAAACTGTCCAAAAAGGAAGGCCCTAACCCGGGATTGAACCGGGGACCTCGCCCAATGTGGGAATTTACGGTTCAATCCCGTATTTAGCTCCCTAAGGGCGAATCATACCACTAGACCATCAGGGCTTGTTTTAGCTGCTAATCACAAATCCTTGATCGCCCATTACACAAAGCTTGGGATACAATCTCTCTTGGAGCAGCGTCAGAACAAGCTTCAGTAAGAACGGCCATGATTAGTCAGTGGGTGGGGCGTGGGGGGGGGGGGTCACGGACGCATATATGCAGCAGCTTTTCAACCTCAGTAAAGCTTCTGCGTGACAACCAGTCCAGAAATCTACATGTATAGCAGAATAAAACGTGTAGCCAAGCCTGCTTTATCTAGCGCGCATCTTCAGATTACTCCCGTACAAATTGCGGGGTGGGGCGAATAATAAGCTCCTATCGGATGATGTCACACCGGTGTTTTTTGTGACGGTGCGTAGATTTTGACCGCCCC